CCAAGCTGCTGAGTGCCTCTGAGTTTACACTAATTATTAATTAAACACGTGTGTAAAGTTAGAAATGCCTGAGAAGGCTCCACCGGCAGATCTGCGCGCCCCCCCCCTCCCCCCCACTAATCAAACATGGTTTTACATCCCACTAATCTTTAGGAGCAGCTTTGATTCACATTCAGTGAAATTCTTCATTTTGCTGCATCTAGACGTACATTTTTAACATGCTGAGACAAGAATCCAACATGCAGAACATATCTGCGTATTTTACATATTTAGATGTTGGCATGTCCAGGGCAAGGACAGACAATGCTTTCTAGTTTTTGTATTGCTTAAAACTATAGTTCCTTCAAATGATTGGTGGAATGGCTGAAGATGGATCTATGGTAGCCTAGCCAAGGCCACCATTGGCCACCCCTGGCTCTGCCATATTACCTGGTGATAGATCAACATGTTCCCTCCACTCCAGGGCTATGGTAATGAGGAATATTGACATGTAGCTGTGTTGAGGACTAGACTGTGATCAAACATTTAATTCACTTCAATTCAACAAAGTCCGTGCTCAATAATCCAGGTATAAAATCCAACATTTTTCAGTCAGGTCCATCAATCAGTTTCCTTGACTGATGAAGCCTTCCGGATCGAAGGCGAAACGTTTCAGCACAAAAAAAGAAACTGTCCAGATCACTTCAATTCAGTTTATTTATATAGCGCCAAATTCACAACAAAGTTGTCTCAGGGCACTTTACAGGAACATTCACATACATAAAAAGCCAATTATTAAAGTTCTCTATCTAAGGAAGCAACATATTCATTGAATCTTCACTTCGTCACAGTCTCCCATCCTGAGCAAGCACAATGGCAACAGTGGAAAGAAAAACTCCCTTTTAAAAGGAAGAAACCTCCAGCAGAACCAGGATCAGGACGAGCGGCCATCTGCTTTGACTGACTGGTTTGAGAGGACAGGAAGGAGAGACAGACGAGCATAGAATGGTAGGTCCAGATGTACAGGTCCTTCTAAAAAAATTAGCGTATTGTGATAAAGGTCATTATTTTTCATAATGTCATGATAAAAATGAAACTTTCATATATTTCAGATTCATTGCACACCAACTGAAATATTTCAGGTCTTTAATTGTTTTAATACTGATGATTATGGCATACAGCTCATGAAAACCCAAAATGCCTGTCCCAAAAAATTAGCATATCATGAAAAGTTTGTCTAAACAAGCTATTAACCTAACCATCTGAATCAACGACGTAACTCTAAACACCTGCAAAATATTCCTGAGGCTTTTAAAA